CCTGAGCATTGATCTCAGAATACCTACAGCGGTTTTGAAACCAGATGGAAAACTGCTATCAACAGAGAGATTATCCAAGCCATTAACAGAACATTAAAGCACTGATCTAACAGAAAGGTATATTAACAACGATTGAAATACGAACAATCAAAAAGGAAGGCGAGAAATGAGAATTGGGAAATCAGAAATTTGTAAAATTAGTAAAATTAATACAATGGTAACCCCCCATCGACAGAGAGATTATCCAACCCAATACCAGAACTTTAAACCACTGATCTAACAGAACGGTACATTAACAACGATTGAAATAAGAACTACAAGAAAGGAAGGTTGGAAATAAGAATTACGAACTTCGTAAAATTATTATAATTGGTAAGAAATGTTTCGGTCCATTAAGTCTAATATCAGCGTTTTTGCCAACACACCAGACCCAACAGGAAACAATAAGCAAACAATTGCTGATACAAAATTATGCAACCAAAACAAACTTGCTAAGATTACCAAGGTCGTTCAAACTTGTTCCCTGTAAATTTAGAGCAAAAAAAAAAAAAACATTGATTATATATACCTTGCATATGGACCAGCACATTACCATGTGCATTGGACAGAATTTGACCATCAATAACGGCATGGCGACCAGCTCCAAGCGCTACCATCTTTTTTTCACCGTCCGGAGCAATAAGCACAATACTGAAATACACCATGTAAAAGAAGTAGGCAACATTTCTCACTTTTTTAGTAAATTTTGCCCTTTTTGCTTTACAAAGGCTTTTGTAACTCAAATACATGAATTTGCCAAACAGCGAACTTTCCGTTTCCGATTCAAAATCAAACAGATTACTATTTGGTTCACATTTCTTACTAGAAATACTAAAGATAAGATAAAAACAGATCAAACAAAAGGGAGATAAAAACAGAAAGATTTGAAAAATTGTAAAAAAAGACTGCCCAAAAATACGAGAATCTATGCGACTTAATGGACCGAAATATTGCAATTCCGTTTTTATTTTCGATTATTTTTACTTTTACTTTTTACTCTGTTACAACCTTTTTCATAACCACAAAATATTTAAATTTAAATTTAGAAAACTAACGCAGCAACATAGGTGGTAATTGGACAACCCTGCTGACGACATATTCCTTCGTATTCCTGACGAACAAACGAACAGATCTCAGCGCAAAGCGCCATCTCTTCCTCACGTTTCGATTTTTTGATTGATAACATTTCTAGTGCATGTTCCGAGGACAAATCGAACTGAAACATAAATGAAACTGAAAATATCTGGAGCTAAAAAAGAAAGCCACTTAGTCTGATGACAACAAAAGTATTAGAAGCACTTTCAAACAAATAACTGAAACACAACTCCATTCATCCACTACCCCGTGTTAACTTTAGATAGGGCAAAATTGACAGTTTCTTTTCATCCGTCAGTTTCGACAGCCTTTACGCGTTCACTTTAACACACACATGCACAACATGCACATAAACACATACATACACGCACATACAAAAATACACCCACATACACACACACACCCACACACACACACACCCATACACATATACACACCCACGCACATACACTCCCGCGCACGCACACACACATACAAACACAGACCCGCACCCACACCCACACATACACACGCGCTTACACCCGCACTCCCAGACATACACACACCCACATACATGCACACACATGCGCACACCCACACACACATACACACCCGCACACATACACACCCACACACATACACACCCACACACATATACACCCACACACATACACACCCACACACGTACACGCCCACACACATACACACCCACACACATACACACCCACACACGTACACACCCACACACATGCACACCCACACACATACACACACATACACACCCACACACGTACACACTCACACACATACACACAACCACACGCATACGCGCACCTACACACATACACACATATACATACCCACACACATACACACCCACACACATACACCTGCACACACACGCACGTATACACACGCATACAAACAGAGACCTGCACCCACACACATATACACACCCATACACAAGTGCGCCCACACACCCACGCATACATGCACCATCTCTTTATGTGCTAATTTTAACAATTCCTCATTCTCTC